CACAGGCACTGAAATTCATATGCCTGTAAGAAAACTTGCAGATCATTTTCAGCTGCTCCTAAATGACTCACAATGCTGAACGTATTAAGGCATAGGAGCTACGCATCACCAAAGGATGAAAAAATTCCAGATCAGTGTATAAATTCCGCTTGTCCCAAATAATTCTCTTCTCCCAGGACCAGGGATACCCTTCATCTTATGCACATTAACAGCAAAACTTCCCAGCCTGTTATTTTTTTTCTTGCAATAGACATTACACTTTCAATACCACTCTTATTTATAAAGAAAAAAAAACTGTAGATATGCAGCAAGTTCAAGAAAATTCTGAAATAACCCTCAAAATCTGATAAGTATAAAGCAAATGCATTTCTCACAAGATATCAGAAAATCTCACTTACTGTTCTGAATCTTTACCACACACACAAAAAAAAAAAAAGCAGTACAAGATGACAGTACTACTACCAATTACCTACATTAAAAATGTTAGTCTGTTTTCTTTTACTTGTGCAAGGATTATATGTTTATATCAGAGCTTGACATAGTCAAATGGGCTGGAGCAGGAGGAAAGTGGTAACAGCTCACACTTTGTTTCCTCACTTTCCTCATTCCCATACTATATATTTTTTAGAAATATCTAATCAAGCATAAAGATAGCAATGTCCTAGAGTAGAAAGATATATTGTTTAACATGTTGTTTAACACTATCATCTGATAAAACAGCTTATCAGAGAAACAGCAGCCACACTGCTATCACAATGAAGGAAAAAATATGAAATTACTCTGAGTAAAAAAGTTCTGGCTATATGAGCACTCCTATAACAAGGTGTGTAGTGCAACAGAAAACTAACATGGCAAATATTCACCTGCCATTTAAAAGTTTCCTGTAAAGAAAAAAAACTCCAAATGCAAATTAGATAAGCAGCTGAGATTATACTGATTTCATCTTCTCCTACAGATAATAATTATTTGTCAGGACTGTTACAATAAAACAATTTTATGCTCTGTTACTAAGTCAGCATTCTACAATTATGAGGAATCATGACCTTCTGTCCACCATATGGTACAAGAAGTAGAACTCAATACTAAGCTACACCAAAAGAGGTCCTCAAACAACAGAAAACTACACTTTTCAGAAGTCACCCCTGCAGGTGAGTGAAAACCTTGGAATATTTCAACAACTGTTAGTTTGGGGGTAGGTTATTTGTTTACTTGGCTGGTGGGGCTGTGTGCTTGGTTGTTTGTTTTGCTTTTGTTGTTATTTTTTAATCAAAGCCAGGCTTCATTTTGACCTACATATTTACTGATGGTCAGGTGTATAAATACAACAGATTTTTTGCAACTTATTTTCCTACTGTAATTACATACTCTTAAACAGCATATTTTAAGCTTTTAAGCTCAACTTTTTTTTTAATGCATGATATTTCTACTGCTTTCTGTTGAAAGACAATCCAACATGTTTTTGAACAGCCTTCAATCACGCACGCTTACACCACAACCACCAAGCAGTAATTCAAACTAAGGACTAATGCGACTAACGCAGATTTCAGATTTCAACCTACCACTGACAAAACTCGTGAAAAAGGAGCCTGTTAGTTCCTTAGATGAAAAGATACAGAATCGTAGAATGGATTGGGTTGGAAGGGACCTCAAGGATCAAAGCTCCAACGCCAGCCACAGGCAGGAGGACCGACCAACCTCCACACTTAATACTACACCAGGCTGCCCAGGGCCCCATCCAACCTGGCTTTGAACACCTCCAGGGATGGGGCATCCACAACCTCTCTGGCAGCCTGTTCCAGCTCTCTTGGTAAAGAACTTAGCACCCAATACATTTAAAATAGGATACTAGAACCTCAGCAATAAGAAAAATGTGAGTGCTGCACAAGTTTGTTTCCAATCCTACTTTTACATATCCGGATGACAGCAGGGTCACATCAAGCAGTGACTGATACAGCAGTTCTAATAATTACACTTTGAAGCAACCTGTATCAAATGCAAAGTTAAGGAAGTCTCATTCATTGCACTTTTGCAAGTATGCTGCCATAACTTGAACAAAACAATGACAAGTCATATTAAAAATTAATTATTGATTCCCCTGATTTGTTCAGATTAATTTTTTATGACCAATTACTTTCAAATAAGTTAGCTGGGATGAACAGTTATAAAGTAAAATAACATCTATAAATCAGATGCTGCTGCTTTATTTAGATCGCTGACTGTAGGAAATTTTGCTACCATCTTTGCAACAATGAATGAGTAACCTTTCTTGAAAGAAAATGCAAGTGACTACTACCATCCGATGCAGTTACTTTTTTATCAACTGCAAAAAGAAAACTTATGACAGAAACAACAACAGCTGCCACAGAAAAAAGGCATTAATTCAACGTGCATGGACTTTACAACTCTACTGGCAGAAAGAAGCATACTAATTTGTATACAGCTCCACAAACTTAGATGACCCTAGGTAATAAAGGATTACTCAACTAACCATAAAATAGAGCTTACAATAGTAATTACTGCATTTCTAAACCACGCTTAAACCATGAAGGAGTTAACAAGTGAATGTTTACAGCTTCAGGATAAGTAGTTTCTATACTGTACCATAACAGAACAAGAAGAAACCTAGAGGTTTTAAACCAATACTAGTTTTTAAGGGAATTAGTTTAATTTGGACTTCCTATATTCTAAATTAGGGCCTTGGGCAGCCTGATCTGGTGAGGAACAACCCTGCCCAATACAGGGAGTTGAAACTAGATGATATTTAAGATCCCTTCCAACCCAAGTAATGCTACAAATTGTATAAATTTGCTTCAGGCATGTCTGAAGTACATCTTCAAAAAGGAAATCTCACTTGCAGACACAGAATCATAGAATGGTTTGAGTTGGAAGGGACCCCAAGGAACATCAAGTTCCAACCACCCTGCCACAAGCAAGGTCACCATCCTCCAGATCTGGTACTAGACCAGGCTGCCCAGGGCCCCATCCAACCTGGCCTTGAACACATCCAGGAACAGAGCATCCACAACCTCTCTGTGCAGCCTGTTCCAGCACCTCATCACTCTCTCTGTGAAGAACTTCCCCCTGACATCCAAGATATGCAGTTCTAAACTCATTTTTTGTAATTTACCAGAAAAAGAAGTTGTTCACTGTTGTAGAAAAAAATCAACATCCATTGTGAAAGTACTGTGACAAGTATGTTTGCTTTCACTAGAACTGGAAAAAGCAGCTGTATTAATAGAGAAATGTAAAGTTCAGTACTTGAGTCATACAGATACTGTATGCATCACTGAAAATATTGAAAAGCAATATTCCTTTATTACATAAAATGCACAATCGCAGTCATGTAGATAGAGACCTAGTAAATGCTGAGTTTAGTACACTGATATTTAAAATACACAGAAACATTACTAAATCCATGCTCAGTCCCTCCCCCCCAGTACACATCATGGATTTTACCTACTGTAGAGGAATACAAACCACAAATAAAACAGCTGCTAGGACACGTCTAAATTATGACTCTTTTGATAAGTTCTTTCACAAAAGTATCTGCTCTACCTTTGAAGTCAGCAAGGTCTTCATAAAGTGTCTTAAAACATCAGAAATTAAGGCACTTCTGACACATGAATGCTACAGAGAAACACTTAGTCGTGCCTTTCTGAAACATTACTAAAACCATAAAGTTGTACTAAAACTTGCAAAAATCAGAATTTTTCCCTTAGAATATTAGATAAGATCGTGGTCCAATCTCCCATCATCAAGATGGCACAGAAGTAGCAGTACTGATTTAGAACACCAGTGCTCTTAGAAATTATTTTAAAAAAAAAAAGGAATGCGCTGAAATGAATGCCTCCTACTTTATTATGTTGGCCCATGGTGAATGCTGGCATCCATGGTGAGGTGGATGCTGGCAGTATGGCAGAAGAGGTTGGACCTAACCTAACAGAGATAAGGAGATAGTGCAGCAGGTGAAATTCTTATGCAGTCAAAACGATGGCAGCTTCAAACAAGAACAAATTCAGGACTTCATATCCCACAAGTCTCCTAATTTGCATAAACCATAGACTTAAGGGTATTTTTACTCAGGAAGCGGTGTGATGGATGAACCGAGAGCAAAAGCCCACTGATGCAAATTCACACTTCTGAATATCAACTAACTAGGTAAAGTAATTCCAGATCCCTGAAGTAGTTCTAAACATGTGATAAATCATGTATTTACTGTTACAGTAGCAAGTCCAGAAAAAAAATATAGCAAAAGTAAATATTGAGACTAATGGTGAATGGAACAGTTTTTAGTGGTGGGAGAGTTAATCTGACAAGCAAGTACTGTAAAACAGTTTAAAGTGCAAGTATTTTTGCCTTTTTTGATTTTCTGAAATGCTGAACCTCCAAAATTAGTTTTCTCTACAGATTTATCACAGGTACACTTTTAATCACAGAAACAAGCTATGTATATTTTTAATTGCACTATCAGAATTGCCCAAAATATAATTCTGACACTGCATAAGTCATCATTATATCACTCACATATTTCAGAAACCTACAAAAGACAAACTGAATCAAGGAGAAAATCTACTCTTTGCAAAAAGCTTGTTAAAAGTTTATTAAAGCAGAATTTTAATTTATTTGGTAAATAATGTTAACTTCATCTATAATTTCATGTTTCTTCAATGATACAGAAACTAGAAGTTGTCTAAACTTGGATACTATAGTTAGGGATAATGCACTCAATTCCATTTTTGTTCATTTTGTGAAACACTCAGAAGTCATCTTACGCATGCCAATGTTAGCACTGCAGTTAAACACGTAACTTGTTTTATTAACACAGGTTCAAGAAAGTTATTCTTTTCATTAAGAACTAATTATATCAGGTATATACACCTCGGTGAAAAAGCACCATGTTCTGACTCGACACTCACGCTGAGAAATTTCAGCTGTACGAAATAACAAGGCCACCAAGAACCGAAAATACAGGAAAGCTACTATAATACTGGTTTTCTTACCCTACGCATGGCTTCCTCCTCTTCTTGACGCTTTTCATAATGTGCAAAGTCATCAAAGATTGAGGTGGTATGCTTGAAAGTAGCAATTATTTTAAGCACTTGCTTGGCTTTTTCTAGGGGTACTTCTTGAGTGTCCCTCGAATTGGTAACTGGTTTGTTGTCATTGTTTTCCAAGCGAATATGCCGCAGTTGGTTATTGGGAACGTCTTTGACAAAGATCCATTTGACATCGAACTTGCCCTTCCACTTATCCTGAGACCAGACGCCAGCATATGCATTGTAGTCCACAACAGACTTCATCTCAGCCACTCCACAAAAGTGTCCACTGCCATTCACACTGAAGAGTAAATAGAGTGGGCCTTTTCCATTCAAGGAACGGTAAGCAGCATCCAAGCGCTTATTACCATGTTCAGTACTACACCAGATAGAGTACTTAATGGAGCGATGAATATCGTCCTCTGAATAACTTTTGATTATAAACACACGTCCATTCTTCAGGTTCCAATCGAAGTCTTTGGGATTGTAGTTGTTTATGGCCTTTAGTTTCTCCAGCACTGGGTGCACTTCCACACCAGAAGGTGAGGAGCTGACGGATACAACACCTAAACCAAAGTTTTCACTGCCAGCTCCGTTGTTCTGGCTGAAGCCCACACCCCTATTACGAGGCGCTACCCAGCGGTTTTGCAACTGCTGCTGCTGCAACTGGTGAGGCTGGGCCTGCTGCTGAGGTCCTTGTTGCTGTTGTGGTTGCTGTGGCTGAGGCTGCTGTTGAGGCAGTTGGCTTTGCACCAGTGTTGGTGGTTGGATTAATGGCTGAGGCTGCTGGATTATGGTCTGAGGAGGCAGTACTGGTTGGGCTGGGGGAGCTTTTACCACTGACCCCTTGTCATCCCAAGTTCCAATATTCATGTTGTGTTTTATAGGTGGTGGTGGTACAGCAGGGCCCCCAATGCCCACATTACCTTTAGGCTTGAGTTTCGGCTGAGGTTTAGCAGGCTTCCTTGCAATGGCAGCCCACGAGGTTGGTTTAGGTGCTGAACTGCTAACTGGGGGCACGCTGTTGGCTGCAATACTTGTCATACCAGTACTGCTCAGAGCTGAACCTACAGTTTTTGTTACAGCAGCTGTCATATCTCCACCAATTTTCAGTCCAGTCATGCCTTGCTCAATGCTGCTAATCCCAGGCACCTTGCTCAGAGTATCACTGCCAAATCCAGCCTGTCCATCTGCTATGGCTCTCCCAAGAGAACTAGGTGGATAGCCATAGCTGCTGCTGTAAGCAGAGCTTTGCGTTGATTGTCCCTGAGATCCACTCGTCCCCCATGTAGAGAAGTCTGCATTCCCAGGAAAAAAATTAAATCCATGCTGCCCAAGAAATGGAGGGGTGTTTCCTAATGCCCCAGGTTGACTAAATACACCATCAGGTATGTAATGATGTTCACCATTACTCATCTGTCCATAAGTTGTCAAGTATGGCATTGGAGGGTCACCTGCAGTTGACCATGCTGCTTCGCCTAAAGAGTATGGAAATCCAATGGATGGAGCATAATAACTAGGCATATATGGGTCTGACATTGGTGGATAGCTGTTACTCTGCAAGAGAATAAGACAAAAATCAGCAATACAGGCTATGTGCTCAGGACAAAGTATTTCTAATACCATCCAAAACACTGTTAACGATCATATGAAAGAATCTGCAACTTTCCCCATTTCCTTGAAGGTAACAAAGATGAGTAAAAATACCTGTTGGAAGTAGCCATGTTTTCAGAAACCATTTAAAAAAAAAAAAAAAATCAAGTCATAACAACTGTAGTTTCATTAACAGAAAAACAAACTACAATTAAGACTTAATTTTTCTGCATTCTTGTTGCTTTTTTGTCAAGATTTTTCTAATAGGAGACAACTACCAGAACATAATAGCAGGAAGAATGCAAGAACATCTTTGTTTCGTGAGGAACAGCACTCAAACTAACATTCCCATTAAGAACAATCTGTGGTCTAGCAGAACAAAGCTTGCTCACTAAATCCAAACTCCAATTCCAAGACTCCTAAGAAATCACAACAGTTATGTCTTTAGATGATGAAGTTGAAGTTGAAGGACTACCCACCACAAACTTCTGACATTGTTTTGGAAAAAAACACAGCACATTATCATCCCTCAGATAATGCCTCCTTAATATTGTGTTATTTGAGGAAACAGGAAAGTAGGAAGAGTTCTCAAAAGTCTTTTAATAATTTGTCTTTTCTTTCCCTCTCAACACCACTACAACTTACAAACTTAACGTATGTTAACTTCTGATTACAGAGACAATTCACAGCTCTGAAAATAAGCCATTAACATTCCAGCAGAAGCATTATACCACACTCCAGTTATATTAAGCTTCAACCTATTATGCAACCAACTGTGAGATATTCCTACTAACATCAAAGGGGATTATGTCCACACTTAATATTTTCTCAGAGCCAATGAAACTGTTGTTTTGAACTTCATCCAAAATATAATTCACAGCAAATTTAAGGTGTAGGGTTTTATTTTGATGTTTGGGTTTTTCTTTCATTTTTTGAAGATTCTTGTAACTGGTTTGAAGTTGGAACACAAGAGCAAGAGACATCAGACGATGCATATTAACAGAATCTTATCCAGAATTTAAGACAACTTTAACTATTTCATGTTTTATATATACAAATAAAATATGACACAAAACTGTATTTCAACAGCTATTCAGGCAAGTAATGTTAAGAAGCATCATTCAAAAATGAACTGTCTGGAATTCCATCAAACTCCAAAGTTAACTTCGAGACAGTAAGCAATGTTCACTTACCTGATTTGTCTGACTACTTAGATATGGCTCAAAATCATCATCATTTACTGCATCCTTTTGATGAATCGAACCGTTCTGTACTGAAACTAAAAGTATATTTGTATTAGATATACTTTCTGGAAGACTAACGATGCACTTTCAAAATAGGTAACAATTAATAACCTGTTCAATGAAATACTTCTACTGATGCTTCATTGAGACAGAATACATTACTGTTAAGCTTTACTCTGTTCAAAGAAAATAGACCATTAAGCTCCCCAGTCAGATCTCAGAAGAGGTCTGGAAAGACTGCAACCAAAGCAGACTATTCCTGATGGTGGAGTTCCTTTCCTGGAGGAGGAATTTTCTGAACTACACAGACAGAAAATCTTCAGTCACCTTATTTGCATGGGCAGTAAATCCAGTGTTTCCAGAAGTACCAGATTAAGTGCAAATGTGCAGACCAGTGAGATCACACAAATTCAATAGGTTCAGTGAAATCTGTAATATATAGCTTTCTCCTGAAAAGATTAAAGTCAGCATCCCACCAATACAACAGGGAAGGGCTATTTCAGCTGTTTAATTTTCTAATTCCTACACAACTATTAGACTGCACTGAATTAGCAACATATCTTGAGTTTAGAGGGGCCAATGAAAGACAGAAGCAGAAGCTCAAGTCCCCAGGAACAAGTTTACTATCCTTTCCCTGCACACATGCCATTAGACACTGGAATCTCTTCCTATCTGCTCTTCTTAGCTTTCTATTTATTACTTTTAGTTTCATTTAAGGCATTAATACCTACTTGGCATTTTCCAGTTGCTCAAATTACTTGAAGTATCTCTCAATTCCCCCCCTCCCCTATTGTTCAAAGTCAAATTGCAGAACTCTCAACCAAACTCCACTGTTTCCAGAGCGCAAAGCAGAACAGTGACTGAAATTATAGAACTGAAAGACAAAGAAATCTCAAAAACAAGTGACTGCTCTTCAGAATGCATTTTTTGCTGCTGTTACCTATCAGTGTGTTTGGCGAAACCAAGCTTTAGAGTAATTGATAAAGTGCTCTAAGAATCGATGACATCAGAAGTTACAGCAAAGCAGCAGATCTTCTGACAGTTGGGAAAACTCAGATAAAAGTTGACACCTGTTTTTCTCTTTTGAGCAAAAGCTTCTGAAAAGTATATACAGCTATGTAACTAAATCTTCAGGGTTTTTTTTGTTTGTTTGTTTGTTTTTGTTTTTTACATAGAAAATACTTGAAGATTTTTTTTTTTGCTCGGTTGTGTTCTTCCCCCCACTAAAGTTAACACTGCAAACCAGACACTTCACAATTTCTTCCACATTTGATTTCAGTAACAAAGTGTCTTCAGGGAATTAAACTAACTGGAAAAATAACAAAGGAATACATATAAACATATGGAAAAAAAAATGGAAAAATGTATTAACTTCAGACAGCAGTAACAAGAGATGGAAAAATCAATTTAATAAAGAATAACAGAAGATTTGTTCCAAAGCAACTACCTGAGAAGGATGGAAGCAACTTTCACTTATCATTCTGGGGTTTCAGAAGGTCACTTGACCATGGTTATACACTGACAGTGTTTGTAAATGAGCAGCAGACAATTATGACTAACAAAGGTGAACACAATGTGTATTAAAACATGATATAAAAATATTTCTAAATTAAATAACAATTTAAGCTTATAGCTTTTGTTTGTTTTTCCATAAATAAGGAGTTTCAGCTGCGGTCACTAATCATCCTGAACTTAAATACAGTGGAAACATAGAGTGGAACTCTATATTCCATTTTACATTTGGCCCAGTCACACAAGAGAATAATCCTCAAGGTCTCTTCACCCCATGCCATATCCATCGCTTAGTCTTAACCAAAGACTATAAACAGCAACATTCCCAAATACAATTTTGTTATAACAAAAAAATAAAAAGGAGGAACACGACTTTCTTCAAAGCATACAGCCACACATAAAGCAATATACAAACTACAGGCCAAGATTAGAATCCTATCAAAATTAATCTTTTCACACTGACAGCTGATCTTCATTAAACGAGCCATGTTTATTGTTTCAGAGGCATCTAAAGGTCTCTCACAATAATTATTTTGGTCAGCCATAACTAACAGTATTCTTATAAATGTATTTTCTTTCTTGTTTATTCTATATTGAGATCTTAAGTCAGCAACACAAAATAGTTCTGTGCTGCCATCTCTACTACTAAATGTATACACTTTTCAGTGAGACAGCATCATTACAACTGTTCCTTCAGCTTTTCACTCTAACTTCACATAAGGTGTTTAAAATGAAGAATGCAGCCCACACATGTATTTAACAAGAGAAAACAGATTAAGATGCATGCCTCATACCCAAAATCTCATATTAAGTATTCTAACTGAACAGGGCAGTGATGAAGTATACTACCAGAAACTAACCTACAGTTAGTTTCCACTAGCAAATTGCACAAATGATGGACAAAGGTATTAAGAATAAATTTCTCCCTAGAAGCTGTCGCTACATCCAGATTAATGTGGTACGTAATAAGTACTAAACATAACCTGTAGTGTTCTATTCTTGTTTTAAACCTAATCTTATATTTAAACCTCCTACAAAATCAAAAATATATACACAGGTAAGCACAAATCAGGACTTCCTTTCATAGGTGCAATATGTTGGCAAAAACTAAAGCAAGGGAAAAAGGGAGTTTGGGGAATGCCAGGTCCTCCTTATCCCCACTGCAAGACATCATTTGGATGATATCAGTTTTGATGTCTTATGTCAACAGTACAGTATTTGACAAATACAATAAGAAAACTTTCAAGATAAAATTATTTACTGGTCCAAGTCTCTGAAATACTGGAGTTAATGTCCAACAGACTGATAGACTGTTCTATAACCCAGATGTATAATCCCACACATTCCGGTCAAAAGAGGAAGCACATGTCACCTACTTTTAACTAACTAGAACAAAGCACCAAGAGAATTTTCCTAGACAATATGAGCAAATTCTCAATATCATTTGAAGGCTTAGTATTCCTATTTCAACATGAGAAACACTTTATTTACATACCCAATCCTTCCCAACATCACCATTCCTATGCATATGCACAGAGCTTCAGATTAATGTGCTGACTCAGTAACACATACTCCCTCAAGGTCCCTTTAAGCTGTGACCATATCATGACATCTCAAAAAGATTACTGTCTGCTAGCATTTGGACAGTAAGGATTGCTGACACTGACTTAATATATCCTCTTGAACAAACCTCTGATCTAACAACAACTACTTGAGCTACCATCTTCTATCTCCAAGCCCTTTAATCTAACACCAAATTAAATCAGTTTTGTAAATTATTTGCCATACTTTATATTTCAGTAGAATTGAGCTGATTATTGGTTTGTTTCACTCCAGTTTTCATTGTTATCATATTCTCACCAGGAGACTTGTACGCTATTTAACAGGATGCAATCCACTAAAAATCCAAGTTCAGAAATGCAAAAGCCTCCATATTTTGACAAGTTGAAACCGTGTATTAATTTACACATTTTGAAGCATTTACAAGTTACAGCACAGAAAATATGCTGACTTGTGCACTTTCATTATTAAACAAACTGCAGGACAGTATCTCAAATGAGATGCTCAATACTTTACACCCAATTCATATATTGGAAAAATAGTTCAAAAAGTACTTCTATGATTCTCTAATAGCTCTAACTTTTCTGGAAACATAGACGTCATAATCTGAAGAACAGAAAGCCACAAACTACTTGCTAAAATGAAACTGTCCTCTCACTTAAGAGAAATACAAAGGGCAGAAATATAACCACTTCAAAGAAAAATCATAAAAAGTTCTACAAGTACTACAATATGAGAGAACAAGTACTCAGGAAAAAAATGACTAAACTGCATGGGTCTAAGGAGGCAGACAGATTTATTTTTCACTGAATGCATGTTGAAATTAGAAGGAAACAGGCTAGATTCAACAAGATTCAGGAAGCAAATGCCAACATGAGTGGTATATACAGAAGTAAATAACCTGCACACAGGCAGAACAAGAGAATAAGTGTGGATAACATTAAATGACACTTCATAGAGAACAGTTAGATTAGTTCAGATAATAAATAGCAGGGTCAAAAAATACATAAGGTCCACAAAAACGTTTTTAATCTGCATGCAGAAATAACCACACTGAACGCATCACACAGGTAGCTGTTTGCATACTAACCTACTGCTCAGCTTACTGAGCAGATAAGAAATTCATTGGCACAAATGTGCTGACTACACAAATAAAAAACCCAAATAAATTATTGGGTTGGGTTCCTTTTGTTTTGTTTGTTTTTTTAATATCAAAGATAAACTCCAGACCAGAAATAACTGCAGGACATAATCTGATACGTCACACACACAGACTGGCCTAGCATTTTAGAGTGAAGTACTTGATGGTTTCTATGGGAGGGAATAAACCCTATTTTAAATACAAAGATGTTTAAAAAAAAAAATGAAAAAAGTAAAAACAAACAAACAAAACGCTTAGGAGACTACAAAAATATTCTCTACAGACGGAGCCAAGATATTTTCTGAAAATAAGGAGGGTGATGTGTTCTGTTCATAGATATGACTAACTAAGCAGTCACATGGCTTGTGTTCCTCAAGCTAAGGAAGCTGCTCAAAAGACTCCTGACGATCCTAGTATATTGATTCCACTCACTGTACAGAAAGATCCAAGGTATACTGTTAAAGAGATTGTGCAAACATATCAAACAACATCAGCTAAAAAAATCAGCTGTTATTTTATTACTCCAATAATCTATTTGAAAAATAAAAATTTAAATTGACATACTATTGTACCATTGTAAAAAATGCTGGGAAGTAATATTTTGTATGCAATTTCCTGTTGTCTTCATCTGAAATAAGACATCCTATAGCAGCATTCCCTTCCCATAATTGTCTCAGAAAACATTAAGCTCCACAAACAAGATCAGACATTTACACAAAATTACAGTGAATCGACTTACCTTTATTTCCCTGTCCTTTAGGTCTCTGTACATAGGAAAGTGGGGAAAAAAGCAAAACAGAAAATTTCAGTTAGAATCTTCTGATGTTTTTATCAAGCTAATTCAAGTTTACCAGTTCTTTTCAATTTAAATATCAATTCAAGCTATTATAAAAAATTCTGATGTACAAACTCAACTGAAGAGTTTTAAAATTGAAAGAATTTCACTGAAAGTCATTAAAATATCCTACAGACTTTTAAAACAGGCAAAGCTTAACTGGCAGCAGAAATCTGAGCAAATGAATTTTGATTGCCCTTCCTTGAGAGACATAAGCAATAAACACAGCATAGCCTAAAAGAACAAAGAAAGTTAGCTTAAGATTACTGCCAGTACTAGAGCTTCATTATCATACGTCATCGTTTAAACTGACTGATGGGTACTTATCAGGGAAAAACCTATAATGCCTTGCCTTTTAAATGTACAAAAGAATATACAGTAATATTGCAAGCTGAACTACAAGCTGTACATTCCTTGTTCAGTCAGTTACATCGAGAAAATGGTACCATGTTTACACTTTCACACAAGAAAATAATACCTTAAGGGGAAATTTTTTTTTTTTTTAGGATTAGTCATTACAAAACACTGTTAATCTGCCACTCACTAAGAACCACTATAAAAGAACGAGTTACGGTAACCTTAATTCCTCTATAACAAAATAAAACAAGCTTAAAAAGAAATAAGCAACTTGTAACCCATCAGAATCTAATTCATCTCCTTGCACATGTACAACTAATCATGAGCAGATTCCCTGGCTCTGCTACTCTCCAGCAATTTTTACTCCTGAAAGATTCAGTACTGGTTTGAAAGTTTAGGCTATGTTAGAGAAAACCACCATCTTCCTTGCATATAAGCTGTCTCAGTTAGGTCTCTGTTTAACCCATTTCCACCTAAAGCTGTGCTGGTTAGTCACCTCCCCTTCCCAAAAGCAGAGGAAAACCTCCTTAAGAAACGCCAACATCTCATCGCCTGGGATACAACTCATCCAGTCACACAGAGAGCAACAAGAGCCACAAAACTAAAAAAAAGTTGAGAAGCAGCAGCCCCTATGGAAGGCTAGTCAGCAAGGAAAGCTAAGAGATCACTGAGCTAGAAATAAGTGCACAAAAGGAAACCGGAGAGCATACACGGAGACAAAAGGCACAAAACACTGAAGGCACAGAGAAAATAAAAGGGGGGAAAGAGGCTGCGAGGAGTAAACTTTGGAGGAAAGGCAGAGGCCCAAGGAGGAAGCGAGGATCAAGGCAGAAAAGCGCCCGCCAAGAGAGGAAGAGCAGCAAGGCCTGGCAAAGGCTGAGAAAACCTCGAAGCCCTGCGAGGAATCGGAGAACAGCTGGAAGAAGCGGAGGTCGCAGAGAAGGAGGCCCGAAAGAAGAAAACGCGAGCGAGGAGAGGAAGACAAGAAAAGAGAAAGCGATAACCAGAAGTCGGAGAAAAAACAGGGAGAGCCGAGAGAAGCGCTCTAGGAACGACGAGAGGAAACGGGCGCCCACAGGGCCTGCCGAGGGCTCGCTCGTGGCGCGGGCAGACGCAGAGCCGCCAGGCCGGGCTGGGCCCCGCAGCGGGGAGGCGGAGCGGAGCTGGCGCGGCCCGGCGGTTATAAATAGGGGCTGCCGGGGCCGGGCAGGGGCCGCCATAGCGGGCGCCGATCGCCCGCCGCTCCCCATGGCGGCGAGGAGGGACGGAGTGGGAGGCCGCCGGGCCGCCGCCCTCCGAGCGCCGGACGCGAGGAGAAGAGATAGCGGTGTGTGGGCAGCTGGTACCTGATCGACGCTGGTGGCTGACATTCTTCACGGGGAGCCGCGATCCCCTCGCTCCGCCTGGGCCTCGAGTGATTCCGCACGCCGGGGCCGCTCGCCCGCCCGCCCGCCGCGCCGCTCGTCTCCGCCTCCTCCTCCCCGCCGCCGCCTGATTGTCGCCGCCGCCTGGGTTCGCCGCCGCCGCCGATCGGGCTGCCGCTGGAAGGAGCCGGCCAGCCGCACGCAGCGCCGCTTCCCCCCCCTGCTCCGGGCTCCGCTTCCCCACAATGGCGGACGGGCTCCGGCTCCCACTTCCGCTCCGCGGCACCCTGACCTTCCGCTCCCCCTCCGCCAGCGACGCCGCTGACCTTTCCCTTCCCGTCCCCGCCTCCATGTCACGTGGGGGTGAAAATGGGCCCGCGCGCGCCCGCTGCCAGCGACTGAAATGGCGCGGGGGGCGGGGCGAGTGCCGCGCGGGGTGGGAGCGCGCATGCGCACCACGCGGCTCAGGCGGAAGGGCCCGGCGCCGCTCCCGCCGTGCTCCGTCGGTCTCGTAGTACGCATGCTCCGCAAGGACAGCTGAGGAATGCTCGGGGGGGGAGGGAGACGATGAATGTCAGCCTCCCGCGCTCCGCTAAGCACCTGCGGTGCGCTGAAGTGGGGAGCCGGCTGGGCAGCGCGCATGAGCGTGGGGCAGTTGTGGGTTTGGCTGCTTGTGCCGTGGTAGCTGAGCGGTTGTGCCCCTGCGGTGCTTGTTCCACGTGGTGTTGGGCAGACCGTCTGTGCAAGTGGTGCTTCTGGTGGGCGGGCCGTCGGCCGCCAAAGGGGCTTGGGCTGCACCACCGCTACCTGGGAGCACCTGTGCTTCTGAAGAGAGAACGCCTCGTATGCTGTACTGTGTGGTGTAAGCAGATATGGTCTGGGCAAAGAGAGGGTTGCACCATTGAAGACATTTTCTGTCTCGAGTCCCTTTTCCTACCCTGCTTTTTTTTTTTTTTTTTTTTTTCCACTGGAGTCCAGAGGGAAACGAGGATGATGAAAGATCCGGGTAATAGATACTGAAATAAAACGTAGCAAGAAACAGCTGGACTATAAAAGAGAAGAATGAGGGTTGATGCGAAGATTGAGTATCTTTATGTATGAAAACAAATCATTTGCATTTTTTGAAATATCACAAAATATAGTGCATTTAAACTGCAGTTTTGAGGTTGATCTTCTCTTATGACACCTTAAAATGCTGTCAAAGCAAATAGGACTGTGCTGCTGCCTCTGTAGCACTGCAGTTAGTAAGCGGGTGGGACTCTTGCACTCAGTCTTTAAGATCATCTTCATCCCTTGTTTTCCTGCTCCATTGGTTGCTGTGGCATGAATGGTTTACACACAGAAAATAAAGATTCAATGCAGGAGAAGTAGAAGTAAGCATAGAGCATGGGCACTTAGGTGGAAATTATAACAGTTCTCAGAATTTTATTCTAATGATTAGCATGTGTATTCTTTTAACCTTCCGTCTTTGGAATCATAAGTTGACATTAAAATGCCCATTTAAAAAATGATTTTAGCCCTCCCAATAGACAAAGTTTTGCAAGTAAATAGCCAAGAATTAGGAAACAGGTATCAGGGAAAGGAGAACTCAGATTTATTGTCGTTAAACATCTCATTGTTTTTGGCCTTGTGTCATTAATTTTTTGAAGCTGACAGACGTTGAATATTCAGAATTTTAAATATTGTTCCCCTCAGACAACTAATGTGTTGCCTTTGAGAAAGTACTGGCCCCTTGTGATTCAATACCATCTATTCAGCTCAATTTGCAATGTAATCATGGAATAAATAAAACCAGCAGTAATTTAGAATTCAATTTGCGATGGTTGCTACGATTTGTGTGACAAAAATCCAACATGCTGCAAACATTTTCATTTTTAATAGGATATTAATATCTGTACTGGGAAGTGATTCTGCTTTGTTCCTCCATCTCTGTACTGTTAGGAATGTGGTGGAGTGAAAATTGTCCTTAAAGAGAGTACAAGTTCAGCAGAATTCCAGTCTGCATTGCAAGCTTTGCAGAGTCTCAGGCTAAAACGAATCTTTTTGATGGGGAATTATGCACCACTCTGAGGACTTGCTGGAATGCTCTGTGGCAATTAGTTCTGTAATACTATAGTTTAAGTTCCTGCATTATGTGCCTCTAGAGACTTTGGAGGTATATATGGTTCATTCTTCAAAATGCTTTTAGGCCTTTTTTTTTTCTTTTTTTCTTTTTTTCTTTTTTTCTTTTTTTTCCAATCTCTAATTCTCCATTTTCTAATAATTATCTGTGGGAAAATTGCTTGTGATCTGAACAGTAATAGTTTGATTCCACAACCCTTTGCCGTCAGATTACTGTATAGGAGATTTGCACCGGTAATGATTTGCAGAGTTGTGGCAGATGGAGCTATGTCTAAACCTCGCTGGACTTGATCTGATGGGGACTGCCAACCAACATCAGCATTCACTTCAGGACAGGACTCCAATTCCTCATGGTTATTTGAGGCACGTAGTGAATAGATGTGTTCTTATGGCTGTGAAAAGGTCTTATGACCTTTCTAGACTGCCATGGAGCTCAGGAAAAGGACAGTGCCCTTTATTTGAGTGTGGAATTACTATGTTATTATAAATGTCTTCCCTGTTACATTCAACAAAGCTTTTTGGATTTTTCCATTCTGCTTTCAAAGTAGTGATTGTGCCAATTCAATAGCAAACTTAAAGGGTAAAAGGATGACTGAGTTTACCCTTTTGAGAAACATTTTCCTCTTCAGTTTTACTGGACAAGAACAAAAAAAGAACATGCGTGTTTTAAATGTTAGGAAAAGCAATATGGCAACACCTCCTTCGAAAATGGTTAAGACACAAGTTCTTAAGTTCTTAGAAAATGTTCTAAGGATTCTTTTCTTAGCACGTAAAGACCAAGTCCAAATAACCATTATTTCCTCAAACATCTCAGAGACTCTCACTGGACTGTAAAACAGGTGCAGTATAAAGTCTTGGCTACAGGTAGAAAGTGACCCTGAGAGTCTTACAAACTAATAATAGCTAACAAACAAACTGTAAATAACATGATGCCCGTGTTTTTTGGTATAGTCAGATAGCTCAAACAGATCGCAAAACTGTTTGTTACAGAAGTAGAAAATATATGCTACCAACAATTTTCTGTTTCTCCTGCCTAAAATTGTTTTAAAAAAATAATCTGTGAATTATAATCTAGTATTGGTGAAACACTAACTAAGGAATAAATTGAAATAGGTGAACTCCAGCTATTCCCACCAACAGTTACTGTAATTCAGTTTGACTGAGAGGGTCTGTGGGTGGTTCATGAAACAACATCAAAGATCTGGTGGGTCACTGCTGAGGAACATGCCTTCGGAGGGTCTCAGTTATCAGCAGACCTCCAGATGTGCCTTGGTGTTGCACCTCTGCTTCCTGCTCTCTGGTCCAGAGGCTGGGCTGTTCAGCTGTCATGGAGGATCATCACACAGCGAAAGCCCATAGCATTGCTACAAGCGAGTGGAAAGCAATGCTCAACTGCAAATAACTAAACAATTCCTCTCCATGTGTGAGATTTGATAGTTCCGAGCCATTAAAAATAGGAGTATATTTATTGTGTATCATTTAGGCAGTGGTAATTAAACAACTACATGCTCTGCATCCTGTGTGAAATACAATCCTGTACTGAAGGCCAGGGCAGGTTCCAGATTCCAGCAAGCATTCTTTTACAGGGTTTGAATAGCTTGGGTGCTATGTTATCATCTATGGGATGGTGAATTTCAACATATGGAGCAGGCATTCTGGAAAATACTCTCACCATAAAAGTGTAATAATGTTGTACAATATGTTACTGTTGTCAGTGCATTTCCTTTTCTTGGGAATGAGGAAATACAGGCTTGTTCTTATGAAAGAGTTCAGAGGAAAAAAACTGTATGAAAGGACTGCAAATGCTCATAGTACTTATCCGTACTTTACAAATCAATTACAAACTGTAATTGATGGAAAATAGATTACAGTAGCTAATAGGTAACATTGTGGCAGTTACGCAGCTCAATTTCTGTACGCAGTTTTAAATTCCAATGCAGTTTTTTATTCCAGTGTTGGAACAAGAATTTTACCTCCTAGCTTTAATTTTATTCTTTTTGTTATCCAGTGCATCAGTCTTGATAGGCTCCATTAACTTAAAGCACGAGGTAAGACAGATTTCCACACTGACAACCTTTTTTCCAGGTATATAATAATGTAAAACACTGATATATTTATAGCAATGTGTGCTAGCTGTTTGGCTTAAGTGATTGTGTAAATTCCATATCGTAGTAGGCTGGGTCAATAACAATAACTAATTGCTGACAGATCTTCTCTTGTTAGTTTTTAAGAAACTCAGTCTTCTTTTATAATTATTTAAAAATATATACAAACCACCTTTGTTTGTTAAATTCCCTGAGATCCTCTCTGTCCATTAGTTTTAGATCTAAATCTGCTTGCATTTGATCTGAAAGGAATGTCTCCTCCTGCTCTTTTCTCCTAGTCACGCAGAGCAATCATTCTTTTGGTGCATAATGTTGCTCATCATAACTGCATGTTTGAAATTTGGCTATGCCAACAGCATGACTGTACTTGAAAGGGAAGAGTAACAACCAAATACTGGGGTAAGAAAAGACAACCAATAGCCACAGTGTATATAGCAGCAGTTCTTAGGGTTCTCATGGCCCACATCATTTTGTTCTGAAGATCATTCCTCTACCACTTCATCAGCAAACTACGTAATATCTAAGAAAACCCACAACTGTCTCATTTAGGACAAACTGGCAAACAAAACCAGAAATTCATGCAGCAACCCTCTCAGAATGCACTGTATGCCCATATCCCATTCCCACCAAGTTATTTTATATGCTGGCTGAGTAAAAGCATGCAACTACTGTATAGAGCTCAGCTACCTTACTGTTTCACAATATTTTTAGGTGATCTGCATTTAAAAAAAAGCTTCTCTAGTTCCATTTAACTTGTGGCATTTGTACTCAAGGGCAACTGCTTACATTTTCATTCCTGTCTCAAGATTTGCCTATAAGGAGCTGGCGGTAATCATAGCGTTTTAGGTACTAAGCTTTA